GCTTGGATGACAGAAGGAGACCCTGTCTCAAAAAAAGAAAAAGAAAAAGAAGAAACCCTGTACACTTTAGCTATCATCCCTGACTCTTACCTACCTCCCTTAGCCTTTGGCAATCACTAATCTACTTGTGTCTCTATAAGTTTGCCTATTACTGACATTTCTTATACAGCTAGTGCTCGACTTACAACCACGATTGGTTTCAACAGACCGGTCATAACACGATTTGGTCGTAAGTTGAGTAGGCTATATGTACAGTACTATGAAATGATGTTAGAAAAATCTTTAAGTCATATTTTATCATAATTTTCTTTCATTATTGTTATATATCATAATTTTCTTTGTTCATTTTATGCCATTTGTATCATCTCTACACCATTTTGTTTCTTATTTTTACATTTGTCAGGTTTAAGTAAAACACTGCATCACCAGTACAACTGGTTTAATATTTGCAAAACATACAAAATTACAAAATACAGGTGCATACAAAAATACAAAATACAGATGTAAAAAATACCATAGGAAACATTTTCCCAATTGCAAAACATATCAAAATATATAAACATGTACGAAACATTTTATTGGCCGCTGGTGCTTGGCCACGGATCGTTGATGTTGTCATCTGAGGCAGCAGTTGGGGTTACCGAAGTTGGTTTTTTCATAAACATGGTGAACTTTGTCTGAATTGTATGTTTCATTTTTTCTTCATAAATTTCATGATACGGACGAAACACATCGTGCGCCATCCGTTCAATCCTTGCAAATCGTTCGATGTTTGGGTCCATTGCTTCGAAATGTATAAGAAATTTATTGGGAGGGGTTTGATGAAAAATATCCAAGACACAAAATACAAATTGCTGTACCGAGTCTGAGATAACAGTTGAAATGGTGCACGCGGAGATGGTAGTGCTGCCGGAAGCTGGTCCACACTGTCGTACGCCCAGCTGGGCAACGTTTGCGCTGCCAGACGCGGAGCAGTCGTGGCTAGCGATTGTGGTCGTAAAGTCAAATGGTCGTAAGTTGCATAGGTCGTAAGTTGATCAATACCTGTAAACGCAATCATATAATACGTGGTCTTTTGTGACTGGTTTATTTTACTTAGCATAGTGTTTACAAGGTTCATCTATGTTGTGGCATATATAATACTGCATTACGTTTTGTGGCCAAATGTTATTGCATTGCATCCATATACCATGTTTTACTTTTCCATTCATCAGTCAAACATTTGGCTTATTTCCACTTTTTGGCTATTGTGAATAGTGTCGCTATGAGCATTCACTACAGGTTTTTGTTTGAGCCGCTGTTTTCTTTCTTTTTGTTTTCCTTTTTTTGTGGTGGCGGCTGGAGACTTGTTCTGTTGCCCAGGTTGGAGTGCAGTGGTGCAATCTCGGCCCACTGCAACATTCACTTCCCAGATTCAAGTGATTCTCCTGCCTTAGCCTGCTGAGTAGCTGGGATCACAGACACATGCCACCATGCCTGGCTAATTTTTTTTTATTTTTAGTAGAAACAGGGCTTCACCATGTTGCCCAGGCTGGTCTTGAACTCCTGACCTCAAGTGATCTGCCTGCCTCGGCCTCCCAAAGTGCTGGGATTACAGGCATGAGTCACTATGCCCGGCCTGAGCCCCTAGTTTCAATTCTTTTGGGTGTATACCTAGGAGCAGAATTGCTGGGTCACATGGTAAATTTGTTTAACATTTTGAGAAATCTTCAAACTGTTTTCCACAGCAACTGCACCATTTTACATTCCCACCGGCAACGAATGAATGAGGCTCCCAACTTCCTTTTGTTTAATTCCAGCCATCCTAGTGGGCATGAAGTGATATTTCACTGTGGTTGATTTGTATTTCCCTGATGACGAATGATATGGAGAATCTTTTCATGTATTTATTGGCTATACATATAAGTTTTTTGGAGAAATGACTATTCAAGCCCTTTGTCCGTTTAAAAAACTGGGTCATTTATCTTTTTATTATTGATTGGTAAGTGTTCCGTATTTTCCTGACTATTCTAGCATGTTCATTTTTCTAGTTGAACCTTCGTCGAGAATGACTAGTGGATGGGAGCGGTGGCTCGCGCCTGTAATCCCAGCACTTTGGGAAGCAGAAGTGGGAGGATCACTTGAGGTCAGGAGTTCAAGACTAGCCAGGCCAACATGGTGAAATCCCGCCTCTACTAAAAATACAAAATTAGCCAGGTGTGGTGGCATTTGCCTGTAATCCCAGCTGCTCAGGAGGCTGAGGCAAGAGAATCCCTTGAGGCTGGGAGCCAAAATGGCACCACTGTGCTCCAGCCTGGGCGACAGAGCGAGACTCTGTCTTAAAAAAAAAAAATAATGACTAGCAACTTTTATGTAGCTGAAAAGCAAAACCAAATATTCATCCTCACTCTAGTCTAACAGATTTTGTAGATAAAATTTTTCCCAAAGCATCTTCCTGCTTAAATGACCTGAAAAAAACTGCGGCCACCTGTACTGTGAAGTTGATTTAAATCTCACTCATGTACACGAAACAGAATGGGTTCTAGGATGGTGTGTGTCTGATGGGAGTTTCTAATTACTCTCTGGCCTAATTTACTTTGGTGTAGCACTGACTCCAAGATTAAGACTGGAGAGGCCCTTTTCAAGATCAGTATCCCAGCTGGCCTGAGGTGATTACCACAGCTTCTTATGTGCTCTCATCACCTCCTGGGTTCAGAACTGAACCCAAACTACATGCGCAGCCTGACTCACAGCTGTGGGTTGCAGTGATTGCTGGGCTTCATTAGGGAGAAGTGTGGTTTCCCGAATGCTTAGTCTTTGAGGGGAGTCTGAAAAGAATCAAGCATTCCTTATGCCAGTTGCTTAATCCTGAAAGAGAAGCAAGCACTTCTTAGATCAGTATTTTCAAGGCTCATCTGATGCAGGCCTCTACCTGGGCTGGAGGATAGACTGCTTCTCCAGCTTCTCTTTCTCCGGGTGGATATGAACTTAAGCCTTTGTAATGAGCTGCTTGCATTCCCCCCGCTGGGAAATCTGTGTATGTATGTGCAATTATGATGGGGGAAACAGGTTAAAGATAGTTTTAAAAGTGGACACTTGTGGTGCTTGTTCCTTGACAACTGAACTTCTCAACTCTTTTTTTTCATTATCAGTGCCTCCCCAAGTCTTTTTAATTTCCCTACCCTCATCCTCCCCCATGAAATTTTCTTTTCTTTTCTGTTTTTTGTTTGTTTGTTTTGAGACGGAGTTTCACTCTGTCACTCAGGCTGGAGGGCAATGGCGCTATCTCAGCTCACTGCAACCTCTGCCTCCCAGGTTCAAGCCATTCTCTTGCCTCAGCCTCTCAAGTAGCTGGGATTACAGGTGCCCACCACTATGCCCAGCTAATTTTTGTACTTTTAGTTGAGACGGGGTTTCACCGTGTTGGTAAAGCTGGTCTCGAACTCCTGACCTCAGGCGATCCACCCACCTTGGCCACCCAAAGTGCTGGGGTTACAGGCATGAGCCACCGCACCTGGTCCCTTTTATTTTCTTTCGAGACAGGATCTCACTCTGTCACCCAGACTGGAGTAATCATGGCTCACTGCAGCCTCAACCTCCTGGGCTCCAGAGATCCTCCTATCTCAGGCACCCAAGTAGCTGGGACAACAGGCATGTGCCATGAGACCTGGTTAATTTTTTTTTTTTTTTTTTTTTTAGAGATGGGGGTCTCACTATCTTGCTTAGGCTGGTCTTGAACTCCTGGGCTCAAGCAATTCTCCTGCCTCTGCCTTCCAAAGTCTTGGGACTACAGGTGTGAGCCACCACATCTGCCCTGAAATTTCAACATCACAGCTGTATTGTGTATATATTTATGTGCTGTATGTATGCTGTGCTTTATACATTAAAAAATGTTCTATTTTTTCTTCGGTTGGGGTGTGATAGAGACCGCACTGAGAACGCCTGCTTTACATAATTAGTTCACAACCTGCCCCCTGGCAGCCTCCACCACATAAAATCAAAAGAAGGCAGCCCAGCAGGGCCGACAAGGAATGTGTGAACGGATGCATATAAAGTGCTTAGCAAAGCGTGGTAAACAAGAGCCCTTGCTGTTGTCATTCTTGCTTTAAGCCCAGTCCCAGTGATGTCTGTAATTCTCTCTTGGGCCAAAGAGTCCTGTGGCTCTGGAGGGCTGGTCACAGGACTAAGTCATTCCCAGTCTGGAGCGCTACGGGGGCAGTAGGTACCTAAGGGAGTGAACTGGGCTTGGAGGGACTGTGGCCAGAGGACAGCTCTGGGGCTGGTGGTGTCAGAACTGGAGATTTCTCAGAAAAAGCCAGGAATGTGGATTTTGGGTTAAATCTCCTGAATGTTAAGCATTGGCTCAATTAAACAACCATAAGGCTATGTGGACAAAACAAAAGGGATGAAACCAAGATATACTGACTTTCCCAAACTCAGGGGCACCGCTGGGATTCCAATAAGGACTCCCAAGCCAGCGCTCTTTCCACTTAACCTAACGCACAGCTTTCATCTCCCCGACCCGCTTCAACTTCCCTGTTTTTGGGAGTCCTTCGACGCCTCTCCTCCCTCCCTCCAGGAGGCCACCCGCTTCCCAGCACGGCGTGGTCTCCACCCAGCAGGTCGGGTCTCCCAGGGCTTCCCTAGTAGACGACGCCGGCGAGCGCTTTGGGGCTGGGAGCGCCCGGGACCCGCAAAGGAGGAGGTGGCTGGAGAGTTGGGCGGACCGTGGGAACCCGCCCGGGTAGGCGTGGAAAGGAGGGGCCCCGGCGTTGATCAGCCTCTCCCGCGCGGACCGCGAAATCTCGGAGCTGAAACAGGCTGTTGTTCGCAGCTGCCCTCTGACCCGCCACCCTGGACATTGTTTTCCATTCGCCCGGGTTGCGGGTGGGAGGCGAGGCACGCCGGGGTTCCAGAGCTTGGCGGCTCGCCAGGCTTGTGACCTTCGTCCCCTAGGGCCACGGGGGCAGCCACGCCTCTCCAGCGGGAGGAGAGAACGCGTGGGGTCCGGGTGACTGCTCCTGCCCTCCCGCCTCCAGCTCAGTCATGGGCTCGCGCAGCTCCCACGCCGCAGTCATTCCCGACGTGGACAGCATTCGGCGAGAGACCGGCTGTGAGTGCGCCCGCGCCGGCGGCTGCCGAGGGGACGGGTCGAACCCAGGCGTCCGGGGCTGGGGATCCGAGGAGGTTTAACACCGCGTAGAGGTCCCCAGGGAAGGGGTTGGGTTGAGGGATGGACGAACTTATTAGTCCAGGGTCCGGGGCTCCCCAGAGCTGGAAGACCAAGACCCCAGCGCCTGGGATCGCTGGGCTCGGGGCGGGTTAACCAAGGGGTCCCAGTCTCCAAGTTTGGGGAGGATCCACGTTCACGGGGTTGGAGTCCAGACGAATCCAGGCCACCCAGGTGTCCTCGAGCCCGGATCGAGGCTGAAGACAGAGCTGACAACAGATGGAAGGGATAGCTTCGGTACTTTGGATTTCGGGAGGTTGCGAGCCACCTGAGTCTCGAAACTGGATCTTTGCGGGGTCGTGTCACTCTCCCTCCACCCCGGCCAACTCCACCCTCCGGGATGATTGCCCCTTCCAGCCGCCCCCCGCTGTCCCCGGCCCATCTTCCCGGCCCATTGGGGCGGGTTTCTGGAGCGCGCCCCGCTGCGTCACCCCCCACCCCATTCCCTCCCGCAGTCTCCCAAGCCAGCCTCGTCCGCCTGCACCACCGGTTCCAGGCACTGGACAGGAACAAGAAGGGCTACCTGAGGTAAGGAGGAGCCCACCACATGACCTCTGGCCTCTGTCTCCCTGACTCCACGTCCCTCTTTGACCCTCGATCTTGCATCTCTGTCTTACCCTCTTTGAACTTTGACTTTGCAGCCGCATGGATCTCCAGCAGATAGGGGCGCTGGCGGTGAACCCCCTGGGAGACCGCATTATAGAAAGCTTCTTTCCCAATGGGTGAGGCCTGCTGACTTGGGGAGGTGGGGGTGGGAAGCCCGTGTGTGGGTGGGTGGGAAAGGAGGTTAGAGACTTGAGGCAGAGTGATGGACAAGGTGACCACTACCTCCTTCCATTCTACGCTCCTCCTCCCTGCCCTGTCTCCCCAGGAGCCAGCGAGTGGATTTCCCGGGCTTTGTCAGGGTCCTGGCTCATTTTCGCCCTGTAGAAGATGAGGACACAGACCAAGACCCCAAGAAACCTGAACCTCTCAACAGCAGAAGGAACAAACTTCACTGTGAGTTTGTGAGGACCCACCTAGTGAGAATGCAGAAGTACTCACACCAGGGACAGGCTCCAGGAATCTCCCACTCCCTTCCTGAGCCCACTGGCAACCTACCCCCTCCTCCAGGGTGGCCTCCTGCTGGAACAGAGCCAGGGAAGACCCACCTTCCTTCCCCCCCCCACCCTCTCCCCAGATGCATTTCAGCTCTATGACCTGGATCGCGATGGGAAGATCTCCAGGCATGAGATGCTGCAGGTTGGCAGAAAGCGAGGGCAAGAGATGTGATGGGTGAAGGGGGGGATGGTTGAATGCAATGGTGTGGGGGATGGGGTGGGATGACTGGGGAGCTGGGGTGCAGTTGATTGGGGTATTGGTTGGGAAATGGGAATGGGTGGGGTTGGAGTGTGGGTTTGTTGGAAGTTAGATGGGGAGCAGTTGACTTTGAGGTTGGGAATAGATCAGTGATTCTCAACTGGGGGTGATTTTGCTCCTTGAGCGAACATCTTGCATTACCTGGAGATGCTTTTTATTGTCACAATGAGGGAGAGAGTGTGCTACTTGGCATCTAGTGGGTAGAGATCAGGAATGTGGCTATATGTCATGCAATACCCAGGAGAGCCTCCCCCAGTAAGGAGTTATCTGGCTTCAAATGTCAATGGTGCCAAGATTGAGAAACTCTGGAACAGATGTGTTGGAATGAGGATGGAATTACAAATTCTTAGTGCTTGAGGTGGAGAATGGTGTGGAGGATGGATGGAGGTTGGGTGATAATGTTGGGTAATGAGTTTGAGCATATTTTGAGGGTAGTGTGGGAGGGTGAGGGAGAGATAGATTGGTTGTTGAAGCAGTAGGGAAAATTATTGGGGGATATGGTGAAAAATGGATGAAGGATGGATTATAAAATTAGTAATAACTTTTGGGATGAGGTGGACAAGGTTTAGGGGATGGGGGAGTAGCAGCCTTTGGGGCCCGTCTTTATGGCTGCCTCTTCACTCATCTCCCAGGTTCTCCGCCTGATGGTCGGGGTACAGGTGACCGAAGAGCAGCTGGAGAACATTGCTGACCGCACGGTGCAGGAGGCTGATGAAGATGGGGATGGGGCTGTGTCCTTCCTGGAGTTCACCAAGGTCAGGGTGCCTTTGGGGACTAGGGAGTTGAGATCAGGAGTCCCTGGGGCAGACAGACATGGGAAATGTTCAACGGAGGAGGGCAGAAAGATAGGGGTACCCTGGGAACGATGGGGTCTCTGGAATGGGTAGAACCCTGGGGGAGGAGGTTAGGAGCATGGAGAGCTGAGAGTCAAGCCTCTTGCCTGCCATTCATTTTCCCCTCAGTCCCTAGAGAAGATGGACGTTGAGCAAAAAATGAGCATCCGGATCCTGAAGTGACTCTGTTTGTGCCTTGGGCTTGCTCCTGCAACCAGTATCTGCTTGGAATTCATCCAAAGCCTCTGTGGACGCAGGGCACCTATCAACTGTATTCTTAGTTCTAACTCTATTTAGGACCAAAGAAAGAAAGCTGGAAGGATGTGTGCTAAAGTCTAGCTCAGCAGTCCCCAACCTTTTTGGCATCAGGGACAATTTTTCCATGGATGGGTGACGGGGGATGGTTTTGGGATGGTTCAAGTGCATCACATTTATTGTGCACTTTATTTCTATTATGATTGCATTATAACATATAATGAAATTATTATACAACTCACCATCATGTAGAATCAGCAGGAGCCCTGAGCTTGTTTTTCTGCAGCTAGATGGTCCCATATTGGAGTGATGGGAGACAATGACAGATCATCAGGCATTAGATTCTCCTAAGGAGCGTGCAACCTAGATCCCTCACATGCACAGTTCGCAATAGGGGTTGGGCTTCTGTGAGAATCGAATGTGGCTGCTGATCTGACAGGAGGCAGAGCTCAGGCAGTAATGTGAGCAATGGGGAGTGGCAGTAAATACTGATGAAGCTTCAGCTCACCTGCTACTCACCACCTGTGGGGCGTCCTGGTTCCTAACAGGCCACAGACCAGATGCCTCATTTGGTCTCAGAGCTGTGAATCGGCAAGCAATCTTTTGGTTGAGAATCACTGAAAACCCAACTCAAAGTGACTTAAGTCAGAAAGTTTTATGAGCTCATGTAATTAAAAAGTCTGTAAGTATCTGTCTTTAGTCACAGCTGGATCCAAAGGCACAAATGATGTCATCAGGCCCCAGTTATTCTCCATCTTCTGGCTTAGCTTTTCCTCTCTGTAAGCTTCATTTTCAGAAAGGCTCCTTCCCAGTGGTGGAGATGGCCACCATCAGCCCCAGGCTTCTACCTTGCTAACCTAGTAACGCAGGGGGAAGAGATTTACTTATTCCAATAATTCTAAGTGGAGAGTATCATTGACCCTTTTGGGGTCTCATCCCTACTTCTAGGGGAATGGAATACTCTGATTGGCCAGGTCTGTGTCATATGCTAATTCCTAGAGCCAGGGGAATTCAGGATGGAGTGAAAGGTGGTTGCTTAAAGGAAAGTTAAATGCAGTTAGCAGAAGGGGAAATGAATGGTCTGCTCTGCTCGGGCAAAACAAGAGATGCCCATTATTGTGAGGGACCCTTGAAGTCTGGCCTCTTAAGTGGGTTTTTGCTGATTTCCTGGGTGCATGCTAGGGTGATGGGGCTTGATGAGGTAGTGGAGAGATGATGTAAAAATAATAAACAATACATGCCTTCCTAGAGTGTGAATGCATTTGAAGATTCTAAGAGTAAGCTTATTTTCATGTTAAGATGTTCAAACATTGATGTAAGACAGAATGGAGTAGGAAATCCCCTAAACTGTGAAACTCTGCGTCTGCAGTAGAGTGCCCCCGATCCCACCCCAGCTCGGGAGGGGAGGCTTTTGTCATGCAGGTGAGGGGCTGCAGGCTGGCTGCTGGGCAGAGCCTGCTAAACGCCACCCTCTGGATGTCAAGTCTGACAGGTGCCTGTGGATTTGCTCTAGAGGGTCCTGATGAGGAGCGCCTCTTCTGTGAGCAGCAGTTGACAATTTTTACCATCTTCATTATTGTTGCTGTTCGGTATCTATGTCCTGTGCTGTTACTCATTGTCTGTCTATAAAAAGACACATTTAAAATTTATACGTTTGAATTCATAAAGGAAATTGTATCTCACTCCTGTAGGTTTTGTTCTCTCTTTAAAATATATTTTCTGCATCCAATCATCCATTATCACTCCTATAAATTAAAAGCAGCATCAATCACTGTAAATAAAATAACTACACAAATATAGTACCTGCAAAGAAACAAATACATATAAGGAAATATCAACACAAAGAAATGATAAACGTTTGAGGTGAAGAATATGCTAATTACCCTCATTTGAGAATTACACGTTGTATGCATGTATCAAAATATCACACTGTGCTGGGTGTGGTGGCTCATGCCTCTAATTCCAGCACTTTGGGAGGCCTAGGTGGGTAGATCACCTGAGGTCAGGAGTTCAAGACTGGCCTGGCCAACACAGTGAAACCCTGTCTCTACTAAAAATGGAAAAATTAGCCAGGTGTGGTGGCAGGCACCGGTAATCCCAGTTACTCAGGAGGCTGAGGCAGGAGAATCTCTTGGACCCAGGAGGCAGAGGCTGCAGTGAACCAAGATTGCACCACTGCACTTTAGCCTGGGCAACAGAGCGAGACTCTGTTTCAAAACAAAAACAAAGACAAAATATTACACTGTACTCCATAAATATGTATGATTATTATATATCAATCAAAATAATACTTTTATTACATGGGAGAAATTAACAAGTATTAAAAAGTTTTAAAAGAAAAACCTGCCTCAAACAGAGATTTCTCTTTGGTGATCCGAAGAATGCAAAAAAGAATTGAGAAGGGTACAAATTTTTCTTGAGACGAGATCTTGTTCTGTCACCAAGGCTGGAGTGCAGCAGTGCGATCTTGGCTCACTGCAGCCTCTACCTCCAGCCGCTACCTCCTGATCCTCTCACCTCAGCCTCCTGAGTAGTTGGGATCACAGGTACATGCCACTAAGCCTGGCTAATTTTGCTATATATATATTTTTTTTTTGGTAGAGATGGGGTCTTTCTATATTGTCCAGGCTGTCTGCAAGCCACCGCACCTGGTTGGGAACAACTTTTTTACTGTGTGATTCAATGTTATTGAAGGCTGTTTGGTTACTACCCCAAATCATCTTGTGCGTGTGAGTGGTGTATTTCCCACACCTTGGGAACCACTGGCTGGGGGAAACTATGAGGAAATAAACCTCCTGGGTTGAGTCTTTCCCTCCTGTCCCTTCAAGGACCATCTGGAGGCAGCTATCAGTGGGCTGGACATCCTGATGCTCAGGTTGGCCACTGGTCAGATTGGGTTTGGTAGAGGTTGGCCATCGTAGCAGAATTCACTCATCAGGCCAGGTTCAGGGATAAATAACAGGACTTTATGACATGCTTCATGGAGTTGGAAATATTAAAAGCAATAGCCCTCTGCTGACATTAATCTCCAGAACCTGGTAAGACTTGTGAGCTTGGAGACAGGGCCCATAAACTTGCCCACTTGCTGGGCTAAGATGACAGAGTCCCCAAGGGAGAAACCGGAGGTGGCTCTAGCCCTGGTGCTTGTGATCCTCGTTTGAGAGGGAGAGTACTTCCCAGGGAGAAGTGGGATGGGCACTGGAGAGGTACCAGCTTGTTTCACTGGGGCTACTGGGAGTTCCAGAAGAAGCTCCTCTCCTTGCCAAGGAGACAGAACCTGAGACGGTATGTAGGGAGCCTTCAGAAGAGAAGCAAGTACAATCATGCATCGCTTAGCGACTGGGAAATGAAACGCCTTGTTAGGTGATTTCATCATTGTATGAACAACATAAAGTGTACTTACACAAACCTAGATGGTGCAGCCTACTACACACCTAGGCAATACGGTATAGCTGATTGCTCTCAGGCGAGAAACCAGCACAGCACTACTGCATTAAATACTGTAGGCAACTACAACATAATGGCAAGACTCTGTGTCTCTAAACATAGCTTAACTTAGGAATGGTACAGTAAAACTGTGGTATTGCAGTCTTATGGTATCATTGTCATATACGTGGTCTGTCATTGACCAAAATGTCATGATGCAGCACATGGCTGTAGAAGGACATGGGGAGTGATGTTGGCTATACCTAGTTATGCTGCCGTTGCCTCTTGCTAAGAGATCAGGAAAATAGGAATTCTGACCTAGTCCTCAGCGCTACCTAAGCAACACCAGTAAAACTCTTTTTTTTGAGATGGAGTCTCTCTCTGTTGCCCAAGCTGGAGTGCAGTGGTTTGATCTCAGCTCACTGCAACTGCCTCCCGGGTTAAAGTGATTCTCCTGCCTCAGCCAACCCAGAAGCTGGGATTACAGGTGTGCACCACCACAACCGGCTACTTTTTGTATTTTTAGTAGAGATGGGGTTTTTCTATGTTGGTCAGGCTGGTCTTGCACTCCTGACCTCAGGCGATCTGCCTGCCTTGGCCTCCTAAAGTGCTGGGGTTATAAGCGTGAGCCACCACTCCCGGCTCCAGTATTTAAGAGGCAATATACAGATTTGATTCCTGGTAGAGTCTTACTCTGAGAAGCAGTGTAGTTTAGCAAAAGCAATGTGAGTTTTGGAGTCTTGTTAGGCCTGGGTTTGAATCTGGACCCTTATAAGGAGCTGTTGTACAACCTTGGGTGAGTGACTTTAACCCTCCGGCCTTAGCTTCTGTCATCTGTGACAGAGATACTGGCAGCTACCCTCTAGAGCTGTACCTTATGCTTTCTGTCTCCCTGTCTCCCTCAAACCTACTTATTTTAGGTGGGGCCCTTGGCCTGATCTATAAGCCTGGACTCTGGGCTGCACCAGTCGGGATCCTTCAGTTGTTAACTGGATAATAAAATAATAGAAATTTATTGGTTCATATAACTGAAAGAAAAGTCCAAAGGTATACGGGGCAAAGGTGAGTCCCAGAGGCTCAATGATATTACCAGAAATTAGTCTTTCATTTCTCAACTCTGCTGCCCTCTGTGTTGGTTTAATTCTTTTTTTTTTTTGAGACGGAGCTCATGCTATTGCCTAGGCTGGAGGGCAGCAGTGCAACGTGGGCTCACTGCAGCTTCCGCCTCCCAGGTTCAGGAGAACCTCTTGCCTCAGCCTCCCAATAGCTGGAATTACAGGAGTGCACCACCACACTGGGCTAATTTTTGTATTTTTAGTAGGGACAGCGTTTTGCCATGTTGGCCAGGCTGATCTCGAACTCCTGACCTCAAGTGATCCACACACCTCAGTCTCCCAAAGTGCTGGGATTACAGGCATGAACCACCGTGCCCAGCCAATGTGTTGGTTTCATTGTTAAGCAGTAAAAGAAAATACCAATAAAAAAAGAACCTCTCTCTCTCTTTTTTTAAAAAACTTTTAAGTTCAGGGGTACAAGTGCAGGTTTGTTGCACAGGTAAACTTGTGTCATGGGGGGTGATTGCACAGATTATTTCGTCGCCCAGGTATTAAGCCTAGTACCCGTTAGTTATTTTTCCTCATCCTCTCTTTCCTCCCATCCTCCACCCTCCAAAATACCCCAGTGTGTGTTGTTCTCCTCTGTGTATCCATGTGTTCTCATCATTGAGCTCCCACTTATAAGTGAAAACATGTGATATTTGGTTTTCTCTTTCTGTGTTAGTTTGCTAAAGAGAATGAGCCTCTCTTTTCCATCAGTTCTGTCAAAAGTCCCAGCACCAAACCTCATTGGCCCATCCACTGTAGCCAGGTAAATGCAACACTCTGATTAGTCAGATCTGCTCACATTCTTGCCCCAGTACTACGGACTGCAGTCAATCCCACGTGAACCAAATGCAGCGTGTGTGTGTGTGTGTGTGTGTGTGTGTGTGTGTGCGTGTGCGTGTGTGTGTGTGTTGATTCCCTAAAGGAATATCAGAATGTTGTTATGGGAAGAAGGAGGCTGCATGTTGGAAAGGCAAAATCAACAGATAACTATTTACTAATTAGTTTGCTTTTGGCTACAAATAACAGAATTATCAGATAACTGTGGCTTAAATAATTAAAGCAGTGATCTCACATTATAAGATGTCTCTGATGGTAGGCAGTCTTACTGAATGACTCAACAATATAATTGAGAATCCAAGATGTTTTATTCCTTCCATTCCTCAGTATGTGTCTTTTAATGTGCAGGCATGCTGACTCATGGTTACAAAATAGCTGCCATAGCTCTAGCCATCACACCTTCATCACTATCTAGGAATAGTGTCTAGAAAAGGCTTCCAGAGAGAGTGTCCTAAGAAACAGGAAGTGAAAGACGCCAGTGTCTTAAAGCCTGAGAAAGTGGTACAATGTCACTTCTGTTATAATATATTGAGATAAAACAGGCTGGGCATGGTGGCTCATGCCTATAATCCCAGCACTTTGGGAGGCTGAGGTGGGCAGATCACTTGAGGTTGGGAGCTCAAGACCACCTGGGTTGAACTTGAATGGGTTTAGTGAAACCCAGTCTCTACTAAAAATACAAAAATTAGCCAGGCATGGTGGCAAGTGCCTGTAATCCCAGCTACTTGGGAGGCTGAGGCAGGCGAATCACTTGAACTTGGGAGGTGGAGGTTGCAGTGAGCTGAGACAGGGTGACTGCACTCCAGTATGGGTGACAAGAATGAGACTCTGTCTCAAAAGAAAAAAAAATGTATTGAGACAAAACAGTCCTACAGCCTCCAGAAGAGGAAATAGAGACTCCATCTCTAGATGGGAGGAGCGCTGATGGATTTATGGTCATCTGTAATCTGACATTGTGGGTACAGGTGGGGATGCATACTTTTCTTGCAGGGAAGGGAAGTAGACATTTCAAAAAATGAAAAATAAAATGGGCCTTACCTTATCAGTCAACAATTATCATTTGTCATGGAACCAAAATAAATAAAATGGTTGGTTTGCGAAGCTTGTAAAGTTTAGGTGAATCTATGTAGACTGCTTTATGAATGGATTTTCTTTGTACATAATGCAAAGCACTGAATAGGTAGTTGTAAAAGAGCTTTGTGTATATAAATAGCGTAAAATATTTAGTAAACTATTACACTATTCAAAAAAAAAAATACACTTTGGGAGGCCGAGATGGGAGGATTGCTTGAGACTAGGAGTTTGAGGCCAGCCTG